CCGACCCACGTGCAGGACCTTGCACGTATGCCAGTGAGGTGTTAATAAACTTGTATTAGATGGCTTACATTCAAAACACAAATACTTTTGCCAGGGTAAAGTTTAGGCATGTGAACATTTGACTCAACAAACACTGATATTTCAATAATTACTGTCATGTCAGGCATGCTTTAACGATCGCAACAGATTCCACAGAATATTTAACCCAGCTGAGGAGCAGTCATGTGCTGCTTGGGGGCAGGACTGGAAAAAAAAAAGGGAACAGCCTTCATAAGGGATGATGGAGAGGATGCCAAAAAGTACCTCTGTGAGGTCTGCAAAACAAATGGCAGACTCATGGGAGCTTCTGAGATGGAGAGGTCACTGGTCCTGATACAGACCTTAACAAAACCATCTGGGAGCAGCAGCAACCAGAGACAGTAATAATGTTGAATACTGATCCACATCTTGCAGAGAATATTGGTCTTTTACTAAAAGTTCTCAGGTTTAGTTATCATCTTAGTCTAGCAGTCTCACACAAGGGAACTAGAAGTGAGAAAGGAAAAGGCCCAGGAAAAGTATAAGAAAGTGTTAAGAATGACACAATTTTTGGGGGTATATGAAGACTGTTATTTTACAATTATCCAGAGCAATCTCTTCTGTTCCTACCCTAAATCAATCATTTCATTCCATTTAGATCTTCTCAGGTTTCCTTCTAATACTAAAAAAATCTTTTTGAGCTTTGAACATAAATGTGAGAGAATATGGAAAACTCAAGACAACCAAAACCCTGCCTGAAGCCCACCAAAAGTCACTTTAAATTTAAGAAAGAGCCTTAGTTCCTAACCTCTCTCTACAAAACTCAGTGTATGTGTCTCCACAGACCGAGTCACTGCCTCTACATCAGGAGCCAGTTACTGCTTAAAATTAGGCACTGAATTAGGTGTTAATAACCTGCCTTAAAAAGAGCCTTTTTTAATTATTAAAAATCTAATTGTTTTAATACAAGTAAAAATACCAACTTCTAGTAATGACCCATTAAAAAAGCAAAAAGCAAAACAACTGTATTATTTCAAGTAAAAGTGTTTAACGGAGACAGTGAACTCTGGACATCAGGAATGAATAGCACATGCCATTCAACAGGTTGAACTTAAATACTGACTTCCTTTCTTGACAATTTATATTCCACAGGCCTGTGGAGTTCACTGTCAGTATCTGAAATACAGATGCATTACAATTACACCTAGAAATCTCTTATTACCACAAGTTACAAAGGACTTCCATGCTTGAAATGCAGATTCTGCATTTCCCTAATGGGGTCAAATAACAGTTCTCACTCATACCAGACTAAAAGCAGTTCTTGCCAACAACCTATGATAAAACAGTGAGAGGCTTTTTATGTGTAACCTTCTGTTATTTAATTCTCTTCCAGAGATCATGAACCCCTGATTTTAATTTCAGACCACTACTGTACTTACCTAGGTCAATAAGAATTGCGTGTTGCTGGGAAGTGAGTTGTTTTAGGAGTTCTTTATAAGGTGTGTCCTTTGGTTGCTGTTTACACGGAAACTGATGTTTAAGATGGTATTGCTCTGCTAGAAACTTCCAGATCTCCCCACGGTGGTGACGTGGTACCCCTGACAGAAGAAAGTCATTAAAACAATAATTTGTACTCATACTGTGGGTTCAGCTATAGTTGAGCTAACAGGATTGAGGAACTGAAGATCCCTATCTGCTAGATGTGCAAGCAGATCCCCATGTGCTATCTCCAGCAGACCATAGAATCAGATCAAATTACAGTGCTTTTACTTCCTCAACCAATAAAAGACATCAGCATCTTAACAGGGGAGATTTAAGGCAGGCAGGGTGAGCTGCCTAAGTGTAAGGTTACCATGTATATCCACTCTGAGAAGTACTAGAGAAGACAGCAAAAAAATGGCAATACTTCTCACTGAAAAGTTATAAGCCTGTCTCTCATTCTTCCATGTAAAGTACACAATAAAGCACTGCAATAGAACTATTTATCATTTTTTTCACTAATATAGCACTGACAGTGTTGTGCGGACTAAGTTTTAGGAAGGTGGGATGGACATGTACAAACAAGATGTGATCTGCAGACTACAACAGAAGGCAGATAATCACACAGCAAGCATTGTATTCTCGTTTTGCAATTGATTTGCTGAATGACTGGTACATTAAAAATGTTTTAAAGCTTGAATTTCTTTCTCTAGAAAAAGGAACGACTAACTATTTCACACAGGTAATGGTAGCCGTCATTTGTATCTATATGCAAAGATCTGAAAGTAACAGAGAAGTTATTGTTACATGTGTACTTTATTCAGCCCAAGACTGGCACCAGTAAATCATCTGCACAAGAGATCAATACGCTGTTCTTTGGGAAAGTATTCTGCCTAATCCACCATGTGCTGGAACTAGGTATTACAGTTTGAAGGAACTTAGGGCTTCAAGATTTTGGGGCTGCTTTTTTCTTTTGGTATATATGTTAACACATGGATGACAGCAACAAAAGGAGAAATCAAATTTGACTCAAGCATAGAACTTAGATGGAGAGGTAACAAAACATATTAGAGCAAGTTCACTGCCTTCTCTCACATAAGCACAAAAGGATGTGGATTTGTCTCTGCAACAGTTATTTTTACTGCACTATTGTAATCCCAGAGACAATTGTTTGAAAATGAAATGCCAGTAGAAATGTGTAATATTTGAATCCACTTCACAAATGTATTTAGAGAATGTTTCTGTAAATTATTTCTAACTTAGTAGTTATTTTTAATGGTTTCGGTCTAAATTAGAACTTGGAAAACTCAATTTAAATGCATTTTTAATTTCTGCATAGATATGAAATTTGGCATCACTTCAAGAACGCTGGTTTGACACAACTGGGCTCTAAGAAAGCAGAGTATATAATGGCATCAGAGCTAGGGATAATTCCCCCATCTACTGGCTACTTGTATGTGCTTCCTATTAGTGACCCACTAAGCAGGGCTTTATTTATTTATTTAGCATCGCTCCAAGTTTTTTAAGTTTTATTTTGAACTCATGCCAGCAACTCTAGACTGTCAACAGATACCAAGTTTTCTCATGCTCAATTATTGACTGGACAGAGCGCTTTACCTACATGAATGGAAGGAAATCTGCAATAATGAGTTTCCCTTACTCTGCACAGATTTCTGCTTGGGGCTTTGATATTGTTAGAAATCTAGACTTAGTCATCTTAAGTGGACAATTTGGTTTAACTTGCTTGAATAATTACATACAGACAGGTGCAATATTTAAGATGTTAAACATCTGCTAGTGGTGAATTTTTGCGACTTTCTTTACACATTGGGAAGCTTTGTACAGAACTACACGAGGCTCCTTGGAGTAGCCATCTGCACCACTGGCTACATACAGCACTGGGCATAAGGCCTTCAGGTCCACATGTGCCACAAATAACATCAAGGAATAACCCAACTTCTTAGAACCTTTAAAAACCAACATTAGCTTATATTACTTTTGATGCAGCAGAGAGAGGGGCTGGTTGCTCAGCCCTGCAGTTGTGAGGAAGATGTTATGTGGTGCTTGCAGGTACAGTGTATGGCTGAGGTCAGAAAAAAAAAGGCAGTTCTAGAGATATCCACGTATACTGTTTGTATACACACATACCAGACAGGCTGGAACAGAAAATTGACAGATAATAGTGCAGACAGCTTCTTCAGTACTTTACACAGTCATTTCTTTGGCATTATCCAGGTTTTTTTCTTTAATTATAACTATAAATTATAATTTAATTTATAAAATCAGATTGCAACAGTTTAACACATTGAGGTACTGTACAACTCTCCTCTAAGGAAAAGTGTTATTCAAAAATAAATGCCACATACTTTTAACTCTAGGAATACATTTGCAGCTGAAAGGTACTGTTATTTGCATACACATAACCATGAAAATACCAAACATTGTTACTTGTTTAGTCAGCAACCTGAGGAACAGCTCTAATGAGAATCTGGTTATAAAGAGTGGTTAAGCAGTCACGCTATTTGTTTTCTCATCCAATTTACATGCATTTCAACAACTCAAAATAACAAACTGTGCTTACCTTGACCAACAGCGGAGTGTATTTTTTCCACATCAAATTTAATCTTTGCCCTTCCAGGTGTACTCAGCATTTTTTCCCATATCAAAGTTACATCTTTTAAGCATGGTGTGATTTCTTCATAGTCAAGTTTCAGACGTCTGTTCTGCAGATTGTTTTCTGAAGCTGGGAAGTGATATCACGAATGTTCCAGTTAATACTGTTTACTATTTGTAAAATATATTAACTTAGAACTTCATCAAGCAAGCTACCTAAAATTAAAATGTATTCATTCTGAAACATTACATGTCTACATTTTAGTGATCGTGGGGTAGTGGTCATTTTTTTGTTTCAGTGCTGGGTTTTTTTAAGATATTATATGCAATATTAACTGTGTTTGGTCTGTTAAATTAAGTTCCTTACAGACAGTCAACTTTTAAATCTGAAGAAACATGAGAAATGATGACTAGTGAAATTAACAGAAGATTTTCCTAACAGGATTAGGAAACAGATGGTTTCCCAAGATATAGAGAGGGCCGAGGTACTCAAGGCTTTTTTTGCCTCAGTCTTCACTGTCAAGGGCTCAAACCATTCCCTCAGAGTCACAGAAGATAAGGGCAGGGACTGGGAGAATGGAGAGCCACCCATGGTCAGTGAGGATCTGTTTTGGGAACACCTGAGGAACCTGAAGATGCATAAGGCCATGGGACCTGATGGAATACATCCATGGGTCCTGAAAGAACTGGCAGATGGGGTTGCGAAAACTCTATTCATCATATTTGAAAAGTCATGGCAGTCTGGTGAAGTTCCCGCTGACTGGAAAAGGGGAAACATAACCCCCACCTTTTAAAAGGGAAAAAAAAGAGGACCAGGGAACTACAGGCCAGTCAGTCTCATCTCTGTGCCTGGCAAGATCATGGAGCAGATCCTCCTAGAAATCATGCTGAGGCACATGGAGAATGAGGAGGTGATTGGTGACAGCCAACATGGCTTCACCAAGGGCAGATAGTGCCTGACGAACATGGTGGTCTTCTACGATGGGGTCACGACCTTGGTGGATAGAGGACGGGCAACAGATGTCATCTACCTGGACTGGTGCAAAGCCTTTGATACAAACAAGGGCCTGTAGTGTCAGGACAAGGGGTAATGGGTTTAAACTGAAAGTGGGGAGGTTTAGATTAGATATCAGGAAGTTGTTCTTCCTGGAGAGGGTGGTGAGGCACTGGAACAGGTTGCCCAGAGAAGCTGTGGATGCCTCATCCCTGGCTGTCTTCAAGGAGTTGGAACTAGATGATCTTTAAGGTGCCTTCCAACCCAAACCCTTCTATGATTTTTCAATTTCCCAGCTCTTAAAAAAAAATTAGTACAGAAGACCTACACCAAATAAAAATATAAAACCAATAATGTATTCCTTTTAACATAAGGCAATCCTTCACATTTACACAAAGACAAAGAATTGCCATATTCATAGCAGATACCTCACCCCTGTAGGATCCAGGTGCCTACTCCCTACCTGAACATCTAAAAATCAGCCAAGTAAACATCTTTGTCCTAATCATTCATATCTTCAAATGAGCAGCTCTCAAGGGCAATCACTTGTAATTCTGTATGCAGCTGCTACAATAAAATGTGTATTCTTAATCAGCTGCATTTTAGGTGTAAAAATTGCCACAATGGATTTGTTGCAGCTGTGCATTCAGCCACAGAAAAGATTTGGTTAAGAACAACTGCAAATTCCAGTTTCCCAAGCTACTTCTCACCACCCTTCTGACTGGTCTCAGTCATTACTACTCCATACAAACCTTGCTTGCACAATCCACTGCCAAGGCCACAGAGCAAACCAAAAAGTGAACTTGATTACAGTAGGGTGTAACCAACAACTTCACCAACCTTGTAACTTCTGGTTTTCTTTCTCCATTCTGAGGAGCAGTATCTGCTGAATAATGGCTTTCTTCCACAACTCGCGAAGCTCACGGGGCGTCCGTTTCCTTTCTTCTTTCACTGGCCCAAAGGGGCCATCTTCACACACTGGTTCCAATGGGGATCTCGGTGGAAGTTCTCCCAATTCAGAGTAATCTTGAAAAGAGAGAAGCTGTTGTGAACTACTTAGATTTCATGAACAGGTGAATGGACACATTTTCAAAGATTGCATATATATACATACAGATGTACATATATACACATGCACACACACGTATATATGTAGGAGGTAGCAATACCAAGCAAGATTTCCAAAATGACAGTTTCAAGCAGATTTACAAACTGATTCCGAGTAAGAATCGTATGGGCCAAAGCCTGGAACATCTTTTTTCTGTGACCACGGCTTACTAATTACAGCTTTACAAGAAGAGAACTAACAAAGAAAAGGCAAATTTGAGAAATTGCAAAAATACAACCTAGAGCTTAAACCTGGCGTGACTCAAACAGCAGATCAAATCAAACAGAGCACCCACATGATTTAAAGAATAATCTCTAAACTGTGTTTAACAAAGAAAAAACACACCCTTAGCTGCACAAACACAACACTACCTAAGGCCACATGATGGGACGATTACCAGTTCTTAAAGTAAACATGCAGAAAGGGAGACAGGCACCTAAGACATGTTTGCTCTCACTTCCAATTTTTAACCATGTCATAACCTTCTGCACTTTTTCTTTTGGCTTCCACTGGTCTATCACAAAATGTAACTTTTTGACAAGCATGCAAGGTAATTCTAAAGAGACTGAAAACATAAAAAAGAAAGTGAACATGAAATAAATCTCAGACAAATTAAAAGATATTTTCTTTTTAGAAAAACATTGGTTTTAATCAAGTTCTCAACATATGAAGCATAAATTCTTACACTTTGTTTTCTTAATGCCTGCTGCAGTATCAATTTTACTGTTTTATAGAGCTTCTCTGAAGGCTTAAAAGTCTTTGATATAACTTGTATCTAGTATCTAAAAATTACTCAATTCATCACATGGTGAATGGTCAAAACCACCCATCTCTTCCTACCAAATCCCAGATGGAGAGCCATTGTAACAGCACCTCTTTCAGCCAGACAGTGTGGCTGTGAAATGTCTCCCTGATGATAAGCTGACCAGTGAGGCACACAAGAAAATGCTTTAAAATCAGTGCAATAAAACATGGCCTCTCCAGCCAAGGAGAAGTACATCTCTGCATGCTATTTCAAACAGCTCCTGGAGAAGGGACACTCCTGAAACACTTATTCTGCGTGGCAGCTCGGTTGTCCGCATCTTGGTCTAGCATAGTGATAAAGATTTTGAATTAAACACACACACAAAAATTATCTCATCTCCACAAACTAACAAAATAGGAAGGTGTTCACCCCTTCAGAATCTGGTCAGAAAGCTACCATATATTGACTCACATGATTCATATGCAGCTGGCCTTTTCTTGTTGAAAAGCACACCCACAACTAAGCTCAGATGACTAAGTACGAATAGGAACGTTCACGGCTGTTGGCTTCTGCTTTTCTAAGTTTTGCCACTGCCAATCTTTTCCTCTCAAAGAGTCAAATAGGGTGGGTACAAAACCACCTGTTTCCTCATACAGCATTCATTTGTTTGTTAGCCCAGTTAAATTCAAGGGCTAAAATATACATACAAAAATAAATGCAACATTTTCAGATAGCATAACAAATGAAATCTTCACAGACTTGCACTCTGGATGTAAGTGTGGAAACCTAAACTTCGGGTACCTACCGCATTTCAGAGAACAATGAACTTCACGGGAATATGAATTAGGAAAAGGACAAATACTTGACACTCTGATAGCAATCACCATTTATTGCAAAGAGAAGTAGGAAACACTGACAGAAGCATTCAAAAAATACAGCTGGTTATGAAAAATATCAATACAATGAAGAAATTATATCCCAAAACACCATCTTGAAGGCAAGTTTTTCATTTTCTCTAAGGTATGCACAAATTAACATCACCATAAGAAAGAAGAGTTAACAAAAATGGTCACCAAACATTAATGCAAAAAGTAAGAGTGATCCAGATACGTACACCCTCATCCACTGCACGCTATCTGTAGTCTATTCACCTCTTACTACATTCTTATGGAGTCCAGAGCAGAATGCACATACATCTTGGGAGAAAGAAATCCCTTCTCACTCTACACAACCTCCAAGTTGTATATGGATATCCTTTAGAGTCCAATATGTATTCTGGTTTTATGCACATGTGTATGCATATATTAGAAAATACCAGACTAGCTACAGAGGCAGTTTATGGTTACCCACTTGCGGGGAAAAAACAAAACAAAACAAAACAAAAACCCCAAGCTGCCAACACACATGCAAGGAAACAGATTAAACATGTTGCATCTCTAAAGCAAGAACGAACAAATCCAAAACCTAAATTTTTCTGCATTTAACAATACCCATTCTACTTCTCACATGCAAATTTTGTGGATTGGTCTTCAAGTGCCAACTTAAAAAATATCACCTTCTGATTTATCAGTGGTACTCCCTTATCATCCTCCAGCGATGAAACTTACTGGGGCAGCACTTGAATTACTGCAAAGCATTAATTACTCAAGTCCATGGCCCTGCTTCCATTTAGGCTGACAATTACTGACTAACCTGATAAGATCAGTATTCACTAAAAGAAATGTAGCTCACAATGGTTAAGGCTAGAAAAGAAAATAGAAAGGATACAAAATTCTGTAGTCTGAACAATTATGATTATCAACCCTACCTCTAATTCCTCTGCGGAAAAGTCCTAGGCTTGATTTTGCCTTCCAAATGGCAGCTCCTTTTCTATCTTTTCTTTATTTCTTTCTTCTTATCAGTTGTGGACATTTAACAAGAAGTCTAAAGTCTACTCTGATAAAGTACAACACATTCATAACCCGCCTTCCCTCCCATCTCCATGCTGGCATGTTAACAGGATGTATAGAAACCAAAATGAACCTGTTTAACTGCTCAGGTGGCCTGTCTGAAGTTTGCAGAGTTGCAACAGCTGTTTGGTAAAGGAGAGGGAGAGGTGGAATGTGCAGGTAATCCCTCAAGGCAAAGTAAAAAACCAGACATTTGGTAAGTCAGCATTAACCCGTGTCTATGAATTTACAACAGGGTGATCGACACACATGCCATCCGGCTTCCACATCCTGAACTGACAAGAGTATAAATACTGCAACAGAAACCTGTATTATTTCTTTATTATGCACAAATGATCTGGAGAATGGCAGAGAAGACAAAGACAAATAGTAGATCAATTCAACCGAACATAACTGGGTGCTCACATTCCACTGAATCAAACAGCCATGTGTTAAAATCCAAGTATGGCCCAGCCTTCAAAACTTCTGTGAGATTAGTAAATGCACTTAAGGAGGATCTGAACACTTCAGTACACACTGAACAACCACTTCCCTGTTCATCTGCCAACCTCGTCAGCTTTGGCTGACTCCTATTCCATGTTTGACCTGTGCTCCTTTCAAATATGTTGTTCCCTTCCCTGTAGCTTCCATATAAAATTCTAGATTTCAGTTCCAGGATTGGGCAAGCTGACTCAGTAACTATTATTATGTTTTATCAACACAGAGGTTATTTTCCATTTGAAGTTCAGGCTTAGACTACCCTGCAGAATTACTCTTCTGCGCAATGCACTTCTGTAAGTCTGTGGGTCCAAACCAAGTATTCCTCAAAAAAGAGTATACTTCACTGGGAAAGACACCAGTTTTCCTGTCCTTGAGAGAACTTGTTCAGGGTGAAGAGCTACAGATGAAACTGCTCATGAAGCAGATGAAAATGCTGGACAAATGTACTGGTGCATCCATACGTACCTCAGCAGTACTGCACCCACTGCTTATACTGCACCTGAAGGGGCTACAAGGAAGCTGGGGGGGCTTTTTACAAGGGCCTGTAGTGACAGGACAAGGGGGAACGGGGTTAAATTGAAAGTGGGGAGGGTTAGATTGGATATCAGGAAGAAGTTCTTCACGGAGAGGGTGGTGAAGCACTGGAACAGGTTGCCCAGAGAAGCTGTGGATGCCCCCTCCCTGGAAGTGTTCAAGGCCAGGCTGGATGAGGCTTTGAGCAACCTGGTCTAGTGGAAGGTGTCCCTGCCCATGGCAGGGGGGTTGGAACTAGATGGTCTTTAAGGTCCCTTCCAACCCTAACCATTCTGTGATTCTATGATGCTACCCAAGAAAAGACAAGGCCGTTAGTAACAACGGACTGAGACAGAATTTGTACAGCAGATCCATTCACTTGTACCCAACCCCTTGGCTTTGCATGGCAGTGCTTCAATTCTAAGATGTAGAGTATTCCTACACTCCAAAAGGATCAACAAATGCATTACATGAAATTCTTACGTGCAAAGATGACACACAAAAAAAGTACAAACAATAGGGAGAAAGTATTATAGTACGTTGCTACCAGGGACTTTACCAGAAGTTTGTAAATGAAAAGCCGGTGAATGACTGCAGTAGTAATTAAAACAGAAAATATTTGACAGGTGGTGATATGAAAAGGAAATTTCACCACCCCCAGAAGAAGCTACATTGAGTAGAGAGTATTTTCTGGGACTTACAGGAGGATATTAAAATATGCCAACAGTAAGTTATTAAAATGTTGCCTTAAACCTTATTTTTTGGGAAATTTCACTTGTAATTGACCAGAAAAAAATAAATGTATCAATCAACAGTTTCTTATTCAACCAATCTCAGTATTGAACAAGGCTTTCCAAAAACAAGAAGGAAAAAAAGGAAAGCCACTAAGAGAAACCACAGAAAGCAAAAAACCAGAAGTGACAAACCCACCCAAAAGCCTACGTTTTAAAAACATTCTGTCAGAAGCACTTAGTCTAACCAACCTCAAACACCAAAACCAAGATAACAAGGTTCATCTTTGACTAAAAACATGCAACACTTCACACAGAAAAGAAGGTCTTGCTTTATTTTTATAGGAAGTTAATTGGGAGGAGGCTCAAATATAATGAATTGCTGCCATCCTCACTACGGAGCTGTTTACATATGGGTCTCTAAATGCAGTGCTTACCAGACACATCTGGTCTCCAGGTTTAAGTGTCGGGCAAGATACGGTAAGAATGTGATGGAAGAA